GCAGCCGGCATCGTGGGGGCTTCTGCAGCTGGCCAACTTGGTGTTTGGGAAAAACAATGAGGTCTCCGGCGCTGGCCTGTCGGAGGTCTCGGTTCCCATCGTTAGCCGACAGACGCTCTGCCGGGCCTGGCCAACAAATGAAGACACTACCCTCATGTTCTCCACAAATCAGTGCGATCCAGCCGACGCGCTGCTGATCTGCCGACCCCAAGCAGCTGACCAGGCTGGACTCGTGGGAATTTTCGCTGTCTCTGCGGAAAAGTTCCACCAATGGATGTCGACTAACCGCGCGCTGTGGCTCGACACAGCCCTTCGGGCGGCGACGCACCTATTGAACCGGCCGGGGATCACCGACTTGCGTGCCCTGGACGAGAACATGTACACTGTTCTTAGCATCCACAGCTGCAAGCGAGGGCCCCCGCTGCTGCCGCTGGCACCTGGTTCAACTGAGCCGGCAGCTGTCACGATCAAGACAGACGAACGGAGTCAACTTGGCGAATGGAGCCGCACTCCGTTGGGCCCGGATGGCAAATTTCGCTTGGTGAGCTTCGTCAAGCAATTTGCCGCGAATCTCGGGATGCGCCTAAAAGCTTACGATTCGCTGGACGGCCAGAGGTTGGTTCACTACCAGTGCGCAGTCAGGCGTGACGAGTGGGAGCGCATCCGAGAGGAATTCCTTTACGCCTTCCTGGTGCAGAAGCGCGCCTATCGCCGAGCCAACGGCGGCTCATGTGCTCCTTGGCTTGCAATGGATACTGAACCACGTTTTGCTCCAGACGATAGACGTGTGGAGGTGGCCAGCCAGATCAAATCCAGGCAGCAGAAGCCGTCGCAGCACAAGACGGTGGTGCGTCGCACCTTCATCGAGGTTGCCGACGACGACAGCACCGAGGATGAGTTCGCGATCATCCGGGAGAGATCCAACAGACGTGCTAAGACCTTCCAATCACGCAACTCGTGGTCCTCGGAATCTGATTAGGAGCTGAAGCGCTGCAGCGCGTCAGCTGCATGGCAGGGTTCCTCTTTCACTCTCACAGAGACCCTGTATGTCACACTGTATGTCTAGCCCATGGTGTGAGTAGAGCAAACCCCAAAAAGTTGGAAACCGGATTAGGGACAATTAGTGCTGCGATTCCTTATACATTGCTCTTAAGGATTGAGGCTATTGGGTTTCCAACTTTTTGGGCTTCTACAGTAATTCAGACATTTGACAATCCTGGATTTGCACGGCCTACCCGCCCTCTGGTTCTTGTACAGCCGCCACTTGCGCGGGCGCAAGCAGCTTCCAGCCGCTGCCTTCTGTACAAGAAGACTGGCCTTAAGGTTCGACTCCGCTCGGCATCCAAGCTAAGTGCGGCACAGCGACGGATGTTCCTGCAAAAGCCTGCCTCGGCTGGTGGACTTACAGGTCCTGTGCTTACAGACGTTTCGCAAAGGCACATATGTGAGTTTTCTGAGTGCGACCGGCAGCGCAGGTCTTCCTTGCTGGCCGGTTGGTTTCTCGCGGAGGTGCGGGACTGCGGTTGGGCTTAAGTGAAAGGTGTTTAGAAAAGAGGTGGTGATTCGGGAAGCCTTGATAGAGAAGCTGATGAGCCCAGACAGGATCTCTAGAGCAAGAGGAGTGTAGCATCTTTGCTTCGGGCTTGAGCTTCCTCACTCACATGACTCCACAATTCAAACTCCACATCCCAATCACCAAACAGCTACGAGCCGGAAGCTATGACGACGGCACTGGCAGGGCGGAGGCCAGATGGCCAGGAGGCTGTGAGACTGGGTCCTTTTTTTCTTGCCCACGTCCTTCGGTGAAGTACGGATTTTCGAGTTGTTGAGGCTGGAGTATCCAAGGGTTTTAGGAGCTGGTGTTGAGAATTCAGACACGAAGGCCTCGCAGCATGTGTCTCCGGTGTGTGCACGCCTGGTTCAAGCTCAGGCAGAATTGATCGGTAGAACCGGAATAATTCGAAAAGGGTTTCGGTGGGTTTCATCGTACTATAGTTCGACTACTACAGTTTGACTACATTTTACAGGAGCCACCAGGGCACAGTACGGCCCTTGATCGGGAGATGGCTCGAACCCGCCAGAGAATCAGAGCCCATTCGCGAGGTCTGCGAGGTTGATCAGGATCACCGACTCCTGAGGCAGGTGGGAATTGCCTGGGGGTTTGGGGCTCCTGTGCTCTACGCCCTGAATCCCGAAACAGTGCTGACGGTGCACCAGCGGTAGACCAAGTATGAGACTATGAAGATCCATGAAGTGGTATTGCAGTTTCTAAATCTTAGAAGCGCATCACAGGCTGTTTCTAAGTATGCTTCTTCGGTGCCGGGGCACGAGTAAAGGAGCTAAATAAATCCTGGTAGATTCCTTCGCTG